GGCGTCTGCGGGTCGCTGCTCGGGGCCTGAGGGCCACTTTCCGGGCCACCTGGTGGACGTCAGCGGCACGGGGACGCTGTCCCAGAGCTACCAGTATGAGGTGTGTCTGCGGGGAGGCTCGGGGACCAGTGAGTTCAAGTTCCTCAAGCCCATTATCCCCAATATCCAGGCACAGGACTCTGGGGGGCATAGCGAAGAAAATCCCACCTTTCGAAATAGCTTTGGATTTAACTTACAGTAAAAATTCTTTTTTATATTTTCACGCACTTTTAAGTGGTGTACAATCATATCAATATCAGTTTAGTTTTAAAATTCCTAGTTATTGTACAATTTTAAGCCTAATTTTAAGTACTATATATCTATGATTTACAATGTCATTTCATCCTTTTTTGCATTTAATCAATAGGTAGCTTTAATTAGCACCCATTTGTAAATAATAGTTTAAGGTTTAATCATTTCAAAATGTACAGGATGTAGTTATTCTTACCTAGAAAATCGAAATTTGTCTTTTCCTTTTAGTATATTTCATAGACTAATCTCTGTCCTCATCACCTTGTACTTCCTTCATGTCAGCAGACATCCCTCCACTTCTGATCTTCTCTAACATTCTGTTTAATCATGTGAAAAAAAATCATGTCATCTAGTATTTAAAAAAAAAAAATTTTTTTAACGTTTACTTATTTTCTTGGGACAGAGAGAGACAGAGCATGAACGGGGGAGGGGCAGAGAGAGAGAGAGACACAGAATCAGAAACAGGCTCCAGGCTCTGAGCCATCAGCCCAGAGCCCGACGCGGGGCTCGAACCCACGGACCGCGAGATCGTGACCTGGCTGAAGTCGGACGCTTAACCGACTGCGCCACCCAGGCGCCCCTAATCTAGCATTTTAAAGATATTTCTCTCTTACTCTGCTCGTGAGAAAATGAGAGAGATCATTTTGTGAGTGATATGGGACTACAGTCATATCTTGTAGTCATATTATTATTCCATTTCCTTTAAATACACTACTCTTACTATCTCTAGTGTTCACTTTTGCTGACATATGTTAAAAAATAGGTCGTGTCTCTTAATGCCAACAAAATGTAATAACCTGCATGAAAATAAATAAAAGCATTTTGAAAATTTGTGAAGAATATTTGTGGACTGTTGGAAAGGTACTCACTTTTCATTTCATTTTATAAATATATTTTAGTTGTTATGAAATTTTTAAATCACGATGAACTAAAAATCACAAAGAAAAACAATAAATTCTTCAATGTCTGGCCCCTCTTATGGAGTAGTTTCTCTAGAATTGATCATCTTTTGAAGTAATATGTTTATGCCACTATATCTTAACAGTTTTATACTTTAATCACTCCTTCATATGACAAAAGACGATTTCACTTCCTTCCTTTCCAACTAATACACATACAACATTGCATGTGCCATTTCTCCTGTTCTCCCAATAGAGCTGTCATTTTTTTAGGTTAAACTAGTAGTTTTTATGTATATTGCAGAAATTACTTCAAAATACTCATTAGTGTAATGATTACATTTCTTTCCTTGAAAAACTTAATTCCTAGAGTTGATCCTTGTTTTTACTTGCATCATTTTCTATTTACTATTATTGATTTTTCACATTAAGTCTCATTTCAATAACAATAATTCTCTTAAATATAAAAAAATGCCAGATACCTATCAATTTATTTTAGATCTTTCACCCAGAACCTTTTGTATCTCTGATTCATTAACATTGGTTGTTCTTTTTTTTTATTTTTAGTTTTTATTTAAATTCTGGTTAGTTAACATACAGAGTAAATATTAGTTTCAGATGTAAAATTTAATGATTCAGTGTTTCCATCCAACACCCAGTGCTCATTGGTACAAGTGCCCTTCTTAATCCTCATCACTTATTTCACCCATCCCCCACCCATCTCCCCTCTGGTAACCATTGGTTTGTTCTCTATAGTTAAGAGTTTGTTTTTTGTTTTTTTTCTCCTATGATCGTTTGTTTTCTTAAATTCCACTTACAAGTGAAATCATATGGTATTTGTCTTTCTCTGACTTATTTAGCTTAGCGTAATACTCTTTAGCTCCATCCATGTGGTTGCAAGTGACAAGATTCCACTCTTTTTATGGCTGAGTAATATTCCATTCCATATATACATACACACATACATCTTACTTTATCCATTCATCAGTCAGTGGACACTTGGGCTCTTTCCATAATTAAGCTATTGTTGATAATGCTGCCATAAATATGAGAGTGCATGTATCCCTTCAAATTAGTATTTGTGTATTCATTGGATAAATACCCACTAGTGCAATTGTTGGATCATAAGGTGGTTCTATTTTTAACTTTTTTAGAAACTTCCACACTGTTTTCTAGAGTGTCTGCACCAGTGTGCATTCCCACCAACAGTGTAAGATGGTTCTCTTTTCCCTGTGTCTTCACCAACACCTGTTGTTTGTCTTGTTAATTTTAGCCATTCTGGCTGGTATGAGGTGATATTTCACAGTACTTTTGATTTATGTTTCCCCAATGATGAATGATAGTGAGCTTCTTTTCAGGTGTCTGTTGTCCATCTGAATGTCTTCTTTGGAAAAATGTCTATTCAGTCTTCTGCCCTTTTTAAAACTGTTTTTTTTTTTTGGGGGGGGGGTTGAGTTGTATAAGTTCTTTATATATTTTGGATACTAACCCTTTATCAGATATGTCATTTGCAAATATCTTCTCCCATCACTTAGGTTGCCTTTTAGTTTTGTTAATTTTTTCCAACATTGGTTGTTCTAATGGTTGTCGCCCTAGAACTTTTTCCTTTATTACTTTCTTGTGTTGGTCCCCTTTTACAGGATCCAATATATTCTTTTTTATTAGTGTATTCCTTACTTAACTAACACACATCTCTCACTAGTTTCATAAAAATGATTCAGAGGAGGTGAAAGTTTTTGAAAATTTGCTTAGTAAAGCACTCTTGTTTTTCTTTTGAGTGGTACTTTGGGTGTAAAATTCTAAGTTGAAAATAATTTTCCCTCACATTTTGAAAGCAGTGTTCTTTTTACTGATTGCAATTAGAGTTCCTGTTCAGAATACTGAGTCCTTTCTAATTCTGATCTCTTTTAATGTCACCACTAGTTTTTCATTCTGGAAGAATCGGAAACTTTTTTTTCATATTCTGAAAATACTCTATTATCACTTATCTATTTATCTGGTCACAGGGGTGTACTCTATTAACATTTAAACTCTCACTTCCAGTTCTGAGAAATTTTCTTGTTATGCTTTTGATAATAAGTTCTCCCTTGAATTTTCTACATTCTCACTTTATCCAGAATTTCGTTAGTTAAATAGTGGATCTTCTAGATTGATACTCTAAGACACTAAATTTTTTCCTTATTTTCTCTGTCTGTTGCTCTACTTTTTTGGACAATTTATTTTATAATCCAACCTTTATATTTAAGTTTTTCTTTTTGGCTGACTATATTTTTAATAGCTCTTTTGGTTCTCTGAGTGTTTTGCATAGGATCCTTTTGTAGATATGTAAATGTATTATCTTCTCTCATCTATAATTAATTTATTCTTTTAAAATACATTATATACAAAATGCATTATGCAGTAGAAACCGTTACATCCATTATTAAAATGAGAGTGAGTTACAGGGAAGTTAAGAACTTATCCAAGGTTATATAGTTAGTAAGGGGGACTTAAGCCATAATCTATTCTCAATCTTATAGTAAGAACACATACTTCATGAAGTTACTGTTAATATTAAATGAATAAAAGCATATGTGTCACTTAGAACAATGGATGTCACAGAGCAAATTTTCAGTAAGTGTTAGCTCCTATGAGATTTTACTACTCTGGGGATATTAGACATTTTTAAAGACTTTCTTCTGTTTTCTCTATTATGTCTATTTCCTCTTGTTTTTGTTTTTGTTTTTGGAGATGGTGGTTTGACCTTGCTATGTCATGTCATAGGTATTTCTTCAAATTTCTTGTGGTCCTGGGCTATCTTTTCATTATTAAGAATGATATTCTCAGGGGCGCCTGGGTGGCTCAGTAGGTTAATCATCGAACTCTTCTTGATTTTGGCTCAGGTCATGATCTCACATGGTTCATGAGTTCAAGCCCCCCATCAGGCTCTGTGCTGACAGTGTGGAACCTGCTTGGGATTCTCTTTCTCCCCTCTCTCTTTGTCCCTACCCCATTTGTGCTCTTTCTATCTCAAAATAAATAAACTTTAAAGAAGGATGATGCTCTCATATTTAAGAGTGATGAGAGGGGCTCCTGTGTCACTCAGATGGCTTAGCCTCTGACTCTCAATTTCGGCTTAGGTTATGATCTCACGGTTGTGGGACTGAGCCCATCCCAGCATCAGTGAAAGAGAGAAAGAGAGACAGAGAGAGGAAGGAAGGAAGTAAGGAAGGAAGGAAGGAAGGAAAGGAAGGAAGGAAGGAAGGAAGGAAGGAAGGAAGGAAGGAAGGAAGGAAGGAAGGAAGGAAGGAAGGAAGGAAGGAAGGAAGGAAAGAAGGAAGGAAGGAAGGAAGGAAGGAAGGAAGGAAGGAAGTTGGGATGGAAGGACGAAGAGATACCATCCTGTCAGCTCTTTGTGAGTGCGTGAGGCCTGTTGATGGTAGGACTTCACTCTAATGTAACCATGCTAGGATAAGACTATTATCTTGGGAGACCCTTCCAAATATTAGTATGTGTAAATGGTTTTTTATAAGATTTTTTTAATTTTTAAGTAATCTCCACATCTCATGTGGGACTTGAACTCACAGCCCAGAGACCAAGAGTTGTATGCTTTACTGACTGAGCCAGCTAGGTGCCCCATTATGTGTAAATCCTAATCTAAGCTTTTCATATTCTCCAGGTTAGAATTCTACAATATCTGCTGTGTGAAGGAAAGTTAGACAGGAGATCAGGTATATACCCTGTGTGCTACAATTGGAGAGTATTGCATGATAAGGGTGATCTGGAAATTTCATCATTCAGGATGCAAAGTTTTGCTTCACCTCCCTATTTTTAGTTTCACGCTTCAACTTTTACTCAGCTTTGCCTAAGGTCTCCGAAACTAGGGGTCATCCCATTTAATTTCTCCAAAGAAGTAACTTCCCATTCTCTGCCTCTGAGATACTTTCCTGTCTATATAGGCTGATGAAATGGTTGGACTATCCAACTTTCCTTTTTAGTTCTTAACTGACTTCAGCTTTCTTACACATGGTTCCTCTAAATCTTGTACCTAAATGGAATACTGTAGGACAAACCCACTAGTCTTGTATGAACATTTCCAATGCAGGCACTTAACATGTTTCTTAGAACTGCTAACTCAATTGCTCTTCTTTCAGCTTTCTGTCATCAAAATTTTGGGTGTTCACTTGTGCATTCTTAGTCTTTATGTGTTCATACCACTTTTCCTCTTTTCTGTCATTTTAGTTAGTATTTTATGGGTTTTATGTTTATTTATTTTTGAAAGAGAGTACAATTGGGGAAAGGGCG